TTACAATAATCCAACCTGGAGGTCACAAAAGCGTGAATAAGCTTCTCCAGGTCCTCATGCGGAACATAATGCCTAGCCTTAGAGATAAGGCGCAGTTGGTGGAAGCTAGATCTCACTACAGCAGACACTTGCTTATCTCCAAAACAGATGTTTTGGAGACTGTGTCATGGTTCACCTAGTGATGTTGGGGATCTTGTAAAATCTAATGTTAGTGAAAATACAGTCAGATTTTAATCTACCATGCAATACCATCTGGAAAGCATCTGATTGACAGTGGCTTCATTTTTCAGTATGACGGTGATCACAAACAGTCATGCACTGGCCTCCCAGAGCCCAGACCTCGACATTAATAAAGCACCGAGGGATCTTGATAGAACAGAACAAGAGGCAGCCAGCATCCAAAGAAGAGCTTTAAATGTCCTTCATGAAGCCTGAAGAATTAATCCCGAAGTCTACTTAAAGAAATGACAAAAAAGCTTGCCTAAGAGAGTTCAGGCTGTGCTGAAGAATAAAAGTGGTCATATCAAATACTGACTCTGAAACTCATTAGATTTGTACAAACTCTTATACTGCATTTCCATTTATATCTGCAGAAGTTTCATAAAATCGCTAAATCACTAAGTCCAACAAGGAAGAACAAGAAAATAACACCCTTGATTCATCTGTATTAGACTCCGCGCTGATTTTCAGGCAGTCTTGGATAAATCAGCAAAGTATTCTTTAGAAGAATACTGCCATATAAAAACAACCTAGCTATATACTGGTCACATAATACATACTCCATGTAGAGATGTGGTTAAAGCTGTGAAAGAGTTCACTGAAGTGGAAAAAGAGGCACTGAATCATAGCTAACCATAGAATTTAACACCACTACAACAGTGTCAAATGTTAGCAGGATGTATGATTGATTCTTTAAATGCATGGAGTAATCATGTTTCGTCTCTTACATTCAGAGCGCCTAGAAAGAGGTTTGCATCCAGAACATGAAATCCAGTTTTTGTAGCAGGCTGGAAACAGAGGCAATCCCTGAAATATCTATTAGTATATATTTCCGGTAGTGTTTCCAATCTTCCATCTTGTAGAACGACACATCACAGATCAACCAGCATTACTGAAAAGTGGACGATTACAGATACGCCTCTTCAACTTGTTTCATGTCGTTTTCAATTTCATCAGCGTCTAAATTTGACAGACATAACTTGAAGAAAAAAGAACAACCCAAGCCAAATTCTTTCTTGAACCAGTAGTCCAGACTGTGACGAGGGTGAATCAGCTCAGTTAATCAGTACCCATGGCATATTTGACGGAAGCAGAAAAAACATGACCGTAACTGTAAAAAGAAAACTTTTTTTTTTTAAACTTCAAACTGCCAAATCACCAGGGAGGGATTTGTCACCGCAGAAAGCCTAAGGCAAATAAAGCTCAAGAAAAGGAGATGAAGATGTGCCATGAAAGCCAGAATGTTGGCAGACGTTCCAGGTCATGATTACTGCATTCAATGCCATCAGCCTGGGAATAGTCAGGATGTTTATAAGGCAAGACAAGCTGCTCACTGAAACTCAAAAAAATTACTGAGCTATGGTAACCTGCTTGTACCTCAAGCTCATGATGCTGCCAAATCTACACCAGTCACAGTTAATTAATTACCAGAAAGCCAGCAGGAATTCAAAACAAGTATGAACTATTTTGTGATTTATGTTCAGGAGCTGGAAAAATGAAAAAAAAAAGTTCCTAAAATATTTCTAGACTGTTTTTAGACGTTTGCATATACTCAGCATGTCATGCTAATTCGGGCATTGTAATGATATCTTTGAAATGTTCTTTTTCCAGGGTGCAATGTGCAACATATATCTGTAATGACTTTAAAAAACAACAACAACAAATTGGGTTCAAACATTTGAATTTATTTTGAATTTTCTCTAATACACAAGGGCTCGCAAGTATATGAACTGAGAGGTCAACACCCTCTCGGTCCATGGTAGAGTTCCTTTAAACTGGTCGTCTTCCTGGCAGGAACCGGGCTTTTAAGCACAGTTCAAAGATTTTCAATACAGTTGAGATCAGGGTTTTGGGAAGGCCATTCCAGAAGCTTAACGTTGGCCCACGTTATTCCTTCCAAAACCAGTTATGATGTGTGTTTGGGATCATTGTTCTACTGAAACAACCAACTCTGTGCGATCTGACATGAGGCTGAAGAATTTCAAGGCAATCCTTTTTCTTCATTATTCCATGCACTTGATGATGATCATGATGATATCGCCACCATGCTTACAGCTGGTACAGTGCCCTTAGGTTTAAAACAGGGGTGGGGAACTCCATGCCTCAAGGGCCGGTGTCCTGCAGGTTTTAGATCTCACCCTGGGTCAACACACCTGAATCAAATGATTAGTTCATTACCAGGTCTCTGGAGAACTTCAAGACATGTTGAGGAGGTAATTTAGCCATTTAAATCAGCTGTGTTGGATCAAGGACACCGGCACTTGAGGCCTGGAGTTCCCAACCCTTGTTTTAAAAGGTTGCCCTTTAATCCTCCAAACATACCTTTTGTCCTTGTAGCCAAATCATTTCACTGTGGTGTTCCTGCAGTTTCCATTTCATGGCAGGCTTGAGTGTTTGTGGTTTCTGGTTTGTTCTTAAACCAATTTCCTCTCCTTTGAGGGTGACTGTCTGAGACTTCTTCTAGACCAGGGGTCTCAAACTCGCACCCTGGGGCCACTTGCGGCCCACGTCACCCCTACTTATGGCCGTATATTGACCTGAAGAAATATAATGCAATTTGTCCCTTGAAGTTACTTTTTTTTGTTAGCGAGGAATTGTTTGTTGTTGAGTGCAATGTTAAAATAATTTCTTTAAAAAGCAAAAAATGATTTAATATGAAGGCAATATGAGCAGAGAGTGCAAACATGTTCAAGGATTGCATGTTAGTTCAGTCAGAGAGTTTGTGTAAAGAGAACAATTTTCAATAGCAGTCAAAAACTAATGTGTCTGCATTTTTATTTTGTTAAATACGAACAAAATTATAGCAGAAGTGCTGCCACGTGTACACGTGTTCCACGTACATACAACTGGTTAGCCAATGATCTTAGTAAAAGGCTTCAAGAGATCTTCCCAAAATGTGTAAATCTATGGTATCCTCTTTCTTAGATTATCAATGAGTTCTTTGGACTTTCCTATTGCTCTTATTGGTCAGTCTAACAAGTGCTGTCAAACAAATCCTTTATTTGCTGGCAAAGAGAAACTATCACTTATACTCAGTCCTGATAACTAAAGTTGACAGGCCTTGTCAAGTTAGAAGACATTGTACTACCTTCATGCAACACTAACTGAAAGATATGAGTGGATGCATATATTTGAGCCTGTATGTGTCCTTTTGACTGTGTGGATTAGATAAAATCCACAATAAATTAAAATAGAGCACACAATTATTGCCTTCTGAAGTCACTAAAAATATATGCTGTGCAATCATTCCAAGAACAGTTTAAAGGAATCATTAAAATCCCAAAATTGTCATGACATCCAGGCCCATGATGAGTCTTAAACTTCTGACCACAACTATAAACAATCTTGAATATTAAGCTAAACGTGACAGCTCGACACTGGGGCTGAGAATCAGGGAAATATCTGAAAAAGCTTGAGCTCTGCTCTTATTAAACTGAACTTCCCTAACTATGATCCTTGGGGGAAAGAAATAGCAACAGAATCAGAGACTGTAGAGAGCCCAGGGGCCCCGACACTGACCACTGAGGCTGAAATTAGCAAACAAGACAAACAAGGATCCTCCATGCAGCTATCTGACAGCAATGTCCATACAGAGCAATTAAAGTCCCTAAAGACAGCAGCAAACATTTCTAGCTAATTAGGAAACGGAGGCAACTTTGGAAAACTACAACTTGACTCAGTGGAGTATTTGCACTAAGTCTACAACACACACGAAAGGTCAACACTCTTTAGAAAAACTGAGTCAACATTTATTTGTGCCAAGTGAAGCGTGATGGTGAAGCATCAAATAAAAACGTTAAAAAACGGACTGATTGTTAATCACTTAAGCTTCTAGAACAAAGTCAAAGGTAAAACCCATCCCTCCTGTTGTGGGCTGTATGAGCTTTGCAGGTGTGGCTGGTAAAACAAACATCCTCCTCCAACATCTCGTGGTCACATCTTACCTGCTGAGGCCAGCAAAACATGAAAGTCTGTTCCTCTCTGAGTAGGCGTGTCATCATCCGGCTCTGGCCTCTCCGACTCCTCGTACCGGTCCCAGTTTGACTCCAGCTTTCTCCTGGAGAACACCTGTGTGCTATTATCGTCCTCCTGATAACTGTCCCCTTCATCTTGGTCCTGAAGGAGAACATAGCAGGGTATACAATGACCAATATGACACTCAAGAAAATCAGAAAGCAGAATCGGACAAGAAATCTTAAGAATAGCTAGATAAAATAAATCTGTCAGCTAAGAGACTAAAGTTGAGGGTCCTCTGATCCAAATTCTTATAAACAACAGTAGAACATCTTAACCTGAAACATACTTTTATCCACCTGTTCATTTTAACCAATTTAAATGGAGTATTGGTGAGCTGGGTTAAAGAAAAATGATTAACTTAGGACAGAAATAAACAATACTCTGAAAATTTCTTGCATCCATTTTGCTACAACATTTTTATATGTAGCACATCCATTGGCCACTATGCCCTGTTCAACCTGTTCAAGGCAAATATAAAAATAATAGAGCAAAGAATGTCAAACTGTATAGCAGCCTCCTGCCAGCAAACTGATGGCTGCATCCAGTAGAATAACAAACCGTCTCACAGACCCAAAATCATCTCAAAGAATTAAAGCAGTTCTGAATTAAATCTAACCCAGTTCCAGAATACCTAACAAAAAAAAGAAAAAAGAAAAAACCACCTAAAAAAGTGATTTTATATTGCAGTGGGATTTGGGGACCATTCCTTTGTAAACTAAAAAAAATAATTATAATAATTAGGAGAAAAAAGATTTTGAGCTGGAAAAAAAATTGGCAACTATTTCTATAATTACCATTTCAAGGACAAATGGCAACTTCATTCAAACTCTGGCACTTTGAGGATTTTCTGAGTTTCTATTTCTAGTCAAAGTAATTGAAATATGTTTATTTTTAAGATGTCACCTGTGCTTTGGGAAAATAACACAACTAAACTATTAATTTAGGAAGTAAGCAACAATAAATTAATACTGAAAGTACTCTTTTATTAGCAAACTGCAGGAGGACTGCCTAAACACACAGATCCCAAACATGTTTGCAAATTCCTGACAAATGTGCATAGAAACATCCATTTTAATTGAATTTCTCCGCAAGTATTTTTTTTCTTCCAGTACCAGAAGAGACTTTTCAGAGTCTGTTATGGGTTTATTGGCTAGGGAATGTATGTAAAGCACAATATTTATATTTTAAATCCTGGTTTCTGTGAATAATTTTGGTGTTATAGATCAAAAACAATAGAACAATAGAAAAAAAAACAGTCTGGAAAGAAGTCTAATTGTTCTAACTTTTAAAAAGTCTAAACTGCATACCTTTAGTACTGTCACTATGATTTTCCTGCAACAGAAATAATAATTCATTTTGTGCTTCAGAGATTGAAAGACAATTTTTTTAAAGTGTTCATTAGCACATAGCTCTTATTTATAATTGGTAGCTAAGTGTCATAATTGGGTGAAGGTATAAACAAAGAATAAACATCACTGCCAAAACTGAACTCATTAAGTTTGCCTGAGTAACACGTTTATCCCTGCTTTCTCACACATCTGCAAAAAAATCTTTTCATAATACTGCCATGGAAAAACCGTGCTTTCTTCTGAACAAGATAATCAAAGAGCTACGGATGCACCAAAAAAAAAGAAAAAAAAGATTGCAATCAAGAGCTCCAAAGAACCAAGGGAGATTTTGATGACTGTAATCACAGAGCCCCTATTGTTTCTCTTCTACTGCTGTAGTTACCATGGCAGGGGCATTAACTGTCTGAACATCCCAGTGGAAAAACAACTGCAGCCTCTAAGGTTATATCGACAGGCAGATTGTAAAGTGACAAAGTTAAATTGCTGTGGGAAAAATTTCAAGAGCTTGATCAAAATGTTGACACATGTAAAAGGGCTCAGTGTAGCCCTATACAGTGCATGCTGGTAGGATTTATTAGATGACAATAGCACGAACAACAAATAATAAGCATGGATGGATTTAGCTGATATTTGCACACTTCTCGTGTCAGCTAATGCATATTGACTCGAAACTTACTGTGAGTTTGCACATTATTTCAATACATAGCTATATTTCAAAGTTTGCACCAGCTGCTGGGATTGTTTTGCTCAGACTAACTATAACACCGCCTAACTATCACCCTGAAATGAGTTTTAGTTAGGCCGAATTGAAGAAGTAATCCCATGTAGCTTTGCAATAGCATCTGTGAATGTGTGCGTCAGCGCAGTGACGTAAACTACAGGATTCAAAAATAGTTTTCAACAAAGTTTAGGACTAACGTAAGGGGACTCAGATTCCCTGCTCTCTCACCCGCTGATGGGATTCAGCAGCATGGGCGCCTCCTCCGCGTCCACGGCCGCGATGATGTTCTCGTTTACCCCGCTCGCGGTGGTGGCCTCCTCTCCCTCGGCGTTCATCGCCAAAACTGTTGCCGTCGTTTCCACCGCGGCCACCTCTTCTCCCACTGCCTCTGGTTACTCTACCTTCCATTACTGTCAACAGTGGCCGGACAGCTGAGCGTGTGACGCCTCACAGTTGAAATGGGTGTTACACCCAATGATATCCCACGGCAAAATTGTTTTGATTCGATAGTTCCGGGCCTCAATTTGGCTACATGAATATCTATCAGTACGATATAAAAATAATTAACTTTTCACGTTTGAATGTTTTATATATTCTTAATGAAAAACCTCTATGTCAACTAGAACTTATAAGCAAATAAATACTACTGCATATATTATTATATTATATGTATTATAATATATAGTATTATTATTATTATTATTAATAACATATAGAATTTTATAATACATTACATGCACACACACATATATAATGATGAACCTAATGTTTTATTTTACCGTATAAATATTATACTTAGATTACAATAAATCTGTTACGCTTTTTACGAACTACGTATACAAGTTAAAAATCTAAGTAAGCTACTGTCACTCTGATCAAAAATGAATTGTGCTAACTCATTAAAAACAACTCTGTGTGTAATTATATCTCATTGCTGTTCTCTTTTCATTGTAGGTAACTGCTGAATCCGCATGAGGCTACAAAGAGATATTTTCCAACAGTAACACAGCTCTGTAACAAAGCGTAATGGATGCTTCAAACAGTACTTTTGGCAACACTTCACAAGTCTCCGCTGCTCCTCACAGCCTTTGGGAGGTTATAACCATCGCCACGGTGTCGGCCATTGTCAGCCTGATAACAATAGTTGGTAATGTGCTAGTTATGCTGTCCTTTAAAGTAAACAGTCAACTTAAAACTGTAAACAACTACTACCTACTGAGTCTGGCGTTTGCAGACCTCATCATAGGAGTTTTATCCATGAACCTGTATACCACATATATACTAATGGGTTACTGGTCCCTGGGGAACCTTGCATGTGACCTCTGGCTAGCAGTAGATTATGTAGCCAGCAATGCTTCAGTTATGAACTTACTTGTTATCAGTTTTGACAGATACTTCTCCATTACAAGGCCACTGACATACAGGGCAAAGAGGACTCCAAAGAGGGCTGCCATTATGATAGGTCTGGCATGGTTGGTGTCATTTGTCCTTTGGGCTCCACCCATTCTGTGCTGGCAGTACTTTGTAGGAGAGAGAAAAGTGCAAATAGACCAGTGCCATATCCAGTTTTTAACACAGCCCGTCATCACATTTGGGACAGCCATTGCTGCGTTCTACATCCCAGTCTCTATTATGACCATTCTTTACTGCAGGATTTACAAAGAGACGCAAAAACGGACAAAAGATCTAGCAGAGCTGCAAGGGCTCACAAAGGAACATGTTCCAGAGGGGGCTAAACCACAGAAAACTCTTATTCGTTCTTGTTTTCATTTCACCCGAGAGCCAAGAGATCAGAGTCAGGCCTCCTGGTCCTCATCTAATCAAAGTAATGCCACAAAAACTACCACGAGGTCAGATGAGGCATGGGCGAAAGCAGACCAGATCACGTCTTTTAATAGCTACACGTCCTCAGAAGAAGAGGAACAACACGTTTCAGTAGAAACCCCACAAGGATCCTTCAAAGAGCCAGGAAGTGGAGAAACTAATAAAAATGGACAGGTGACTGATTATGCAGAAGATGAGTATTTTTCCACACCTCAAAAAAAGAACAGCAAAAAGTGCATCTCATATAGGTTTAAACTTGGCTCAAAGGGTAAAAACAGCAATCCTGTGAGCGCAACACCATGCCCCCCTGAAGCAGAGCTGCCCACCAAAAATGCCTCCCCCTCCTCATCCTCCACCACCTCCAAACCCATGGACACTGCCCTGAAGAACCAGATTACTAAGAGAAAGAGGATGGTGCTGGTGAAGGAGAAAAAAGCAGCCCAGACTCTTAGCGCCATCCTCCTGGCTTTCATCCTGACATGGACGCCATACAACATCATGGTGCTTATCTCTACTTTCTGTGGTGAATGCATCCCAACATCCCTGTGGCACCTGGGCTACTGGCTGTGCTACGTCAACAGCACCATCAACCCAATGTGCTACGCTCTTTGCAACAAGACCTTCCAGAAGACGTTCCGTATGCTTCTGCTGTGTCAGTGGAGGAAGAGGAGGAGAGGTGAGGATAAGCTATACTGGGGTGGACAAAACCCAAATGTCAACAATAAAATGACTTAATGTGTCCCTGCAATATTACACCAGACTTACTTTTGTCCACTTTGTTGGATATTCTTGACATACACAGTAGTCAGTGGTCTTCTTCAGCATGAAGTGCCACATGTGATTTTTGTGTTAAAAATACCTGCTGGTTCAAAATGAGCTGAGCCTGATGAAGCGCCTAAACGTCTGCTGTTATAAGAAAGAAAGGTGTCTGCACATTCTCACATAATTAAAGGTTAACGAACAGGTTCAGATGTTTTCTAGTCTGTATTGAAGCGATATACCACTGCTTCTACACATTAAAGCCTGATTACAGACCTACAGATTGCATGGCCGCTGAGGGAGCTGCGTGAAGTAGGGCTGTCCGTGATGTTTAAAAAATGAAATATCAACATTGTGCTAATAATGCATGTATGATAATCATAAATAATTGTGTATTTGTTCTTTTTGTATGCTTTTGTATAGTTATATGGCTTTAGACTCTGTTGCCACCTGAATGCATTTGTGAGGTTAATTATTGTAAAAAAGACACAATAAACAAAGTTACTGATTAATTTGAATGATAGAATTATTGCTATTTTTAATAGATATCGTGATAATAGCAATATTGTGAATCTTTGTTTTTTTGGTCACAATAATCATGCAGAAACGTGACATCATGACAGCCCTAGTATGAAGTCTGATAAACCGCCTTGTGCTACATATCACTTGAGTCAGCGTCTGTTTTAGATGTCTAAGGGGTGTTGAGTTTAGAAACAAGTTATCTTATCAAACGTCTGTAGGCTAATGGCTGTGTGACATGGACACAAATCTGTGACAAAACTGTTTTTGGTTAAGTTGTATGGTGGGTAATACAGGCACTAGTTTTTTTTTGTTGTTGTTGTTGTTTTTGTTACAAGAATAGGAAAGTCAGCAATGAGATATATCTCTCTTTCAACTCCTGTTATTAATAGTTCAAAACGAGTTAATGGAGCACACATTTAAATATTTGTAATATACTTACACGCCCATATCCTTCCTCTCCATATGGGCAATACTGCTATCCCTTTGCAACTGAGATCTAAATGTACTCAGACACTAAAATATATGGTACATAACATATATTATGACTAAACAGTCAACACTTTTATTGCAAGAAAAAAGTGACATTTACATGAGGCAAAAAAAAAAAGCAGAAGAAACAAAAAGTACAGAAGGAAATAAATCCGGTGTAAAGGTTGTTATGGCTTTATGTAACGGGTGTCAGACACTTTGTCTTCTATCAAGTCACTTCTTTTTGACCTACATCAATAAGGTGAGGCGCTTTTATGCGTGTTTATTAATCCCTTTGTCCAGTCTGATTTTGTGGAAGTGTATAAACTGCTTGCTCAACTCATACTAACTTTACTTTATCATAATAATAACAATGGATTGCATTTATATAGCGCTTTTCGAGACCCACAGTTATTAAAAAGAATTAAGAAATGTTAACTAGAAAGATGTTCGTAACACAGACAATCTCAAAACCTGCTCTTGGTACGCTGCACTGATATCTCTTGTACACACACATACACACACACTTTTTTTTTTTTTTTAATTTGTCTTGTTTTCTGTTTTCAGTACCTGTGGACAGGCAGGAAATCATTAATGAATTGCAAAATGTGTCTTTTTTTCTGACAATGTAAGAATGAAAAACAAAATTGGGTCAATATTTATTTTTAAATGAATTTTTATCCTTTGAGACTGTTAAACACTATAAAGGTCTGATGTCTGTAGTTCCCCCAATATTGAGTTGCTCATTTAACTACAAAACCTGCTTTTACATTACATTTTTAAGGAATTTGTAAAAAGTGATGTCAGGCACTGTTAAACACCATACTGATAATATTTTTAGGCTAAGGACTTTTAAATTGTTCACAGCTGTCAAAAATCAAACATGGTAATAAAATAGTATTCTTTCCAAACCAGTGGCCCAAGTAACAACTACGGCCCCTCCTTCAATGGCAAGCCTGTCTCAAGCCTGATTACAGGGGTTGTAACAATCTTTTTTAGTAAAATATCCTGGAGTCAAAATTTCTGATCCTATCCTTTCAACCTCACATAATTCATAATTCTCCTTTATACTCTTGCACTGTGTATAAATGACATAGCATAAACTCACATATTTCAAAACAAATCTGTAACAGGAATAACATATTTCACAGATTGTGTCGGATTTTACACTTCACAAATGGTGAATGTAAATTGTTTACAGTATATTATTGTTCAGTGAATGTCTTTTCCTCTGTTTTCTATCTTGTTGATATTTGATCATGTGTATAAGGGCTAATCGGTACATTTATGTGCATTTACAGTTGCATTAGTTTAACACTAGTAATATGAGATTAAGATTGTTATGGACACCTCTTGTCTTCTTTTTGCTGTAAAAAGATGAGTCATGTTGTAAATTATTTCACTTTTTTGTCTATTATGATGTAATGTTAAATGTATCTTTCTGATCTGAACTCTGTGCCTTTTGTTCTGCTCATAGCGGCAAAAATTCCTTTGTGAAGGCGCTTGTGCTTACTGTCCGTCTGCACTTCTGTAAGTGTCTTTGTGTAATAATATACACAGTAAAATACAAACTTCAAGGCAAACATTTAATGACCAACAGACATGTTGAAGACTGTCTCATTTGTCAATAATTCATCTTTGAGAGGTGAGGCAAATCGTTACCATCCTCCAATGGTTGACAACCTGAATGTGCCATGTACCAACGTCATGGCTCTAAACAAATCCCCGACGTCACCGGAGATTTTACTGGTCCCAAGAGTCCAGGTCAGCATTGTTGTTCTGCATTGAGAGTTTCTTTGCTCTAATGCAACACCACATGAAAAGAACAAAGCCATTAATTAACTGATCTCATTAATAGGACTCGGCCTTTTCAGTCTGATAAAGCTCAGTTGACATGTGATGTCACTGAAACACTAATAAAAAAACTATTTCCCTGGAGAACTCCCCTTTGTGTTTATGGAAGCTCGTTTCCACCACTGGACAAAAAAACAGTTTTTTGCCCCCAACAAGTCAAAAATATTGGATCATTGTTTGAAAATTTTGAGTTCGGTATCTCGAGATTTTAACTTACTAACTCAAACTTCCAAAATAAATATGTCAGAATTCAGAAAATAATATGAAACTTTAGTTAAAATTTTGAGATAACCCCAAATTTTAAATTATGAATAGCCTTTTTTTCCTTTCCCCTCCAGTGGCAGAAATAGCATTGTATATGTGCTGAATGAACTCTGGTACTGTAGTTTCTCTTTAATCTCAAATACAAAATGCAACCGTGAAACCCTAAAACACCAAAATGCAGCTGAAAATAGTGTTTGGTTAATATTTGCACCCATTTGGTAAAAATTAGTTTTTAGCAGTTTAGCTCTAGCTTTTAAATAAAACATTTAGAGTCAAAATAAGCACTAAATTGCTTTGGTCTAAGAGCCACAGTGATGATTGAAACTTTGGAAAATATTAGGGAAAAGAATAAGCGTTCTTTTATTTCGATGCTTTCACTTAACTCATTTAGTATGAGTAATCCACAGGACGCTGTCATGCGCATTCTTCACACAGCAACTCATTCTTAACCTTGGAAAAAGGCGATTTGATGAAAACGACTGATTTTAAATTGTGTCACACCATCTCCATTTACCTGTGGACGGGGTATCACTGGAAAAAGATGCAACTGCATGCAAGTTGACCTAATTCACGACACTTTTTGTCTACTCTGTGCTTGAGATATAACTTTTAGATTATATTTATATTCACTACTTCTCACCAAAACACATTTTGTGCATCATAAACATCTGATCTGACTTTAAAGCATTTTTTGAGCCCTGTGGTTATTATCGACAGTGATTGTGCCCAGCGGGCCGTCGTGCATAACACTAAGACTCAAAAGCTTAAGCAGTTATTTGGAACTCAGCCAGCAAACTTGTTTTTTTTGCTTGTATTGACCCACATGCTTCTCCTACCTTGATGCGCCAGAATGTTTTCCCCTGAAAAAGGTAAGACAAGGTAATTCATCTTTTTGCGTTACCACTGCGAAGCACTGATCAGTGAAACAGCAGGAATATACAGTAAATATAGTCTTGCATAGATGCATATGATGCAAACAAAACAAAAACTCACTCTTTCTCACTTCTGGGTAACTTTGAAGCCAAAATCAAAACCATAGCAACAACGGAGCTTTTGTGCCAAAAGGACTATCTCCTCAACAAATAGATAAATGCTGATGATGAACATATTTGGCTCAAAGTTCAAGAGAAAGCTAGTGACTCAACCTTAAGCTGAGCTTATTTTGTCAGTCTCTATATTTAATAACATTACTCATTATTGTTTCATTTTAAAACATGTCCTGTCAGCCAGTGCTAACACATTCTACAATAATGATTTTACTATGGACTTTAATGTCTATTTTATTACAAAGTAAAACCAGTTACACTTTGTAGAGCTTTTAAAAAGCAACCATACATTTCTCTCTTTGTACTTCCAGTGATTATCATTTTAATTTTTACACCTCAGGCACATAATGTACAGCATGTACATTGACCACATTGTACATTGACCACAATTCAGAAAATGAGAAAGTCATGTGTTCACTCAAAGAAATGAATGGTGTGAAATAAAAACACAGCTGTCATATACCATGGCAATTTATTTATCTAGGTTTTTAAATAAGAATTTATCTGTCTTAAAATTCAATTTCTCTTCATTCACAGTCGTATTACTGAAGTTACTTAAACAAGAAAATCTCTGAATTGTGTATATATGCTCTCTTTCAGGTAGTGGAAGTAGCAGCAGTGGAAAATATACAATGGAGGTTTTAGCACAGAAAAGAGTGATGAGTAGTAGGGTCACCTGTAGAAAGTATCGCGCAAATTAAGAATAACAGCTTTCGCAACAAATGTTATCAGTGCAGTATGGAGAAAAAAACAACAAAAACAATTTTTGCTCAGTTTGTAATAGCATATTAGAAATCCAGATGTGCTCAAAACATCTAATATTAATGAAATCTGTACAATAAACCCAGAGAGAGAGAAAAAAATGACACTTTAAAACCTTGCTTCCATGACATAAATCAAGCTTTTTTCTTTTTAGGTGGATTTTTAGGAGGCATGTACAGTACTACCTCCTCTTGGCAGCTGGCCTGGTGCCTTTGCTGCTGCTGCCTGCCTTGCTGGATCCTTTGGAGCCAGAGAAGAGCTTGGTCATGAGCTCAGAGACATCAGGAAGCTCAGGGTTGGGGTTCAGCATGTTCATGGACTGCTCCATTTCCTGTAAAGAAAGGGAGGCAGAGAATGAACAGCTGTTTATGGAGAGAGAAAGGCTGTGTACAGACTCAATGTTCTCTCTGATGTTAAAAATGTATCACAATCAGTCACATCTGTCACAGTTAGCACTTTAGCACAATAAGCAATTCAAAAGGAGACAAGGATAGGGTTAGGATTTAAAACATCACAAAGTCTGTTCTTTCTTCCATTTAGCTCAGAGACACAGCACAATGAACATACCTTTCTCATCTCTGGGTCATTGGTGTTGACCACTTTGGGTAGCAAAACAATGATAAGCAGGGGCAGAACCATCATCATAACCTGCAGGAGCAACAAAGACATTAAATGACATGTAACAAATTCAGATGCAATCTTCTTTGACAACTTGTTTTTACAGTTCCTTTTTTCAACGGTTTTATCTGTCAGCACAGAAGTCCAACATTCTCTTTTTGAGTTTGTGGGCCATCCAATCAAGAAAAAAAGTTTGGCATAAGGAAAATGCAACCTTAAAAAGGAAAGGTGCTAAAAAAAAAAAAAAAAAAAAAAAGCTTGTGTCAGACAGTGGATGGCCTGTACTACCCCAGATAAATCAGGTTTATTTTCAACTCTGATTGATAGAAAGCTGCTCAAGAGTTCATAAGTATGAGCAAAAAAGGTACACTTTAAGGAATGGAAATGTGACTTCGTGGTCATGAAACTTCTGTTCATTATCGTCAATATTGTGCACCAGCTTATCAAAATTAATTAACATCTGTAGTTCTCTAAATGGGGCTACAGCCAATGGACTCTAACTGTACAAATGGTAGAAAGCACATGTTTAATCAGAGTATTAGGATAATGGTGGGATCCTAGGAAATGTTTCTTTTGTGACATACACATGCAATTCCCACTTAATCAACGCATTTTCTTACCATTGGGTTCATAAGGAAGTCTGTCCAGCCCCAGGTTTCTCGCTTCATAAAGTAGCTGTGAGGTCCACTACTCCTGATCTGAAGAGGGTACGGCTGGCGAATTACCTCTGAAGTTTTGATGTAATTCACAAGTCGCGCTCTGTGAAATAACACATTGCTTCAGTGGGTCAGAGTTGCCACAGGCCAACTGCTAATTTTTGCAAGTTTTGTGTTTTTCACTATAGTGGCCATACCTCATTTTACCCTTGGATGTGATATCAACACGGACAGCTTCAAATCTATAGGTGGGAGTAACAACTTCAACAACGTAAGACCCAGAGGGGACATCGTTCACAGCAAAACTCCCATCGGTTCTGTAACAAAAACATAAAGCAATTTTTTCAAGACAGCAGCTGCTTATAATTTAAAAAAAGGTCAACCTAAAGTTTGTCTAAAATATTAATCCTGAAATAAATGGAGAATGAACTAAATAGTATTATCAAACTATCTTACTAAAGCAGAAATACAAATGGTTAAGACAAATAAATAAACAAATGTGGTAAAAACGTTAAAGGTCTTGCCAGTCAATAAAAAATTTCAATTAAATATCTGAAAGTGGTACATCTATAAAGGTCACCTAATTAGGTGTATAAGTATCTAAGAATTCAAGTAGTATGCTTATTAAGTTGAAATTTGAAGCACACTGCATTATGGTAGAAATATAAAAAGAAAGAAAAATACTAAAACATGTTAAAATTTCTGGACCTTGTAAAATATTAAACTGCACAAGTACTATATGAAGAACTGAGTAAGGGTTAGGTTCCCTGTAAATGTTCACTGGTAGGGAAGCAGGGCTATAATGTGAAGATAAAGTTTCATTTTTTAACAGTATGGCCAACAGCGAAAGCCATTTGTGTTTTTAACTGTGCCGTACAACAATGTTCAGTGGCTCATATGGTAGATAAATGTCAATGCAAATTTTGATTTATATGTATGAAGATATTTACATGTATGTATATATATGTAAATATACATGCATGTGTGAGAGTATATATATAAATAGTCTAATTATGACCATTTACAAAACCTGGCATAAATATTGTGGAGTATGCAAAGTAGGTTAGTAATTGTGTGTGTGTGTGTGTGTGTGTGTGTGAGAGAGAGAATATATAGCTACATATAGGTGGATGTATGCATATTATGTTATGATATATATGTATAGCTTTATATGTCTGCTAGTATACATATAAATGCATAGTTATGTATAACTACATGTAGAATTAGAATAGAATAGAAT